TCCGATCCCTGTACAAGTTATTCTTGTCTGTATGCAGATTCCTCTCCCGTACTCGATGCTCATTGCGTGAAGATGGAGTCTATAGTTGACCATAAAACTCTGAAGTGTATTCGTCAAACCTAAATAACCATTGAACACTCTAGACGCCAATGGGAAACTTCTTGAATCCCTGTAGGTCTTATAGGACTTTTTAGCTACTGACGATTTTTCCAGTAGCTTCACTTTCACGCAAATTATCGGTTAGAGACGGAACATCATTCTGTTGCAGTAAAAGTTATCTTTTGCCTCCTCAAGTGCTTGATGCGTCCCCTCTCTTTTAGGGTCTCGACAAGGAGTGGCCTTCATTGTCATGTCTTGTGCTTCACTTGACCGTAATACCTGAAATGCTTCCTTGTGCGCTGACGATGCCGAAGGCTTCGGCGAATCCTGCATTTTCTCCAGATGATCACGGATCCGGTAGCACCCCATGCCCTCGTCCACACTTCGAACAAGCACCTGGAGTCTCGTGTGCACATTTTCGACCAATTCATCGTGCCGAAAACTCGTCCTTATTGGATGTTCCGTTTGGTGATGAAGATGAGGACTATCAACGCCTTTCAGACTTCTCGTCCATAATGGCCGACTTGCGATTACGACCTCGTGTCCCGATTCGATCGGGCGAGATGCGAAAAGCACGATGATACATTTGGGCCCTCCCGTTTTCAACTTGTGATTCAATGCTTAAGAGTATTCCTGTACAGCAAGCTTCTCTACACGCATGCGTTTTGACTCGGTACGAATATATCTTGGTGAAAAACCGACTAACGCTGGATCGCTTCCATGACTTGGTACGGTTTCCATTCTTGTCAATGGACGTTTTCCCTCCTCATTCATAGTCTCAGTTTCCATGTATCATTGTGCAATTTACTCTCTCAGCGCTTTGTGATTGCCAGTATTGGCCTTTCGGAGATCGCCATTCCGGATGCGCCACTCCTCGTTTATTTCTGTTCCTACTATGACCGATCACCTATTAGATCTGTTGTGTCAGAAAACCGGCAGGTACTTGTTCTCTAGCTTTTAGCCTATTGAGTTGCTCCGTCATATTGGTATGCCTGTTTAAATGCCAACTAACTGGTCCCGGTCTGCATGTGCTGTGTGCACCATTTCCTCTCACCCTACCGAAACTGGCAGGAATTATGCTCCACAGTGGTTTTCCACTTTCTTCCTAGGGAATTTTACCTCATTCAGCTTGTGTCCTGAAGAAATACATAAAATTTTGCCTCAGCGTTGTTTCACTCGCATGTTGAAGACTTACACTGGATGGTCTCACTCGCTTTAAAGATGTTATCGTCACTTAACCCGATGCATCCGCTAAATCAATCGTATATCATGTAAACTATTACCATAATACTATTTATTGTCGTCGGGGTCGTATTGCGGTACGCACAAATCACCCATCTGTAGATCCAACCTGTTTTTTGAGTAGTATTTAACTGTATAAGACCATGTGGCACTTCGATTAAGAGTTTTTCGTGATTTTTTCTCATGCGGATCATGTTAACGATAGCTAAAATCTCTTCTTTCTTAGGAGTCTTGCCTTTTGCTTTAGATAGCTTAGTGGTTAGGACCCTAGCTTACGGATCGGAGAGTGCGTGATTCGAACCCAACCTCAGCATCTCG